TCCATATTGGATATTTGTGTACTACACATTTAACTCTCTTGATGTTCAGACTTTAGCTTCTACATGTGCTTTGACACTGTTTCGCTTTGCTTTCTTCTTATCACAGCAGTCATTATCAAAAATGTAAATGTTCTGGAATTAGAGTGCAAAGTGAATTGTGGCCACAAATGTCAGTTTAAATAAAATATAATTTAGTCCGCTTTGACTGCCAAGTTTGTTAGTTATTACAAATTCAACATATTAGCATTCTATGAAATCTGAATTCTTCTTCACTATGAATCTGTGTGCTACGCCATCAACATTGTTACTTCTTTTTCTTATTTTCATTACATATACTATATACACACACACTAAAGAGCCAAAAAAACTGTATCCTAATATTGTGTAGTTATAATCGTGTAGGGTTATAATGAACCTTAGTATGTAATCAAGTATCAGTTGATCGAAAGGGTTCATTTAAACAGCTGATGAATATATCTTCGTTAAATTTGCTTTAGATATCAGAATTTTAAAGCAAATACAAATGGATTGCTGTACATCTGAAGTATCTATCATTTTTCACCATAGCTAGTCCTTTCACCAACTCCACAGCAAGGCAGTTAGTTCTTCTTCCACTATACAAGAAAGAAGGAACAATTTTTCTGTATTAACATTGTGAGCAAGATTGGTAAAGATCTGTGTATGTTATAGGGTTATTAGTGTTCCTTTACTCCTCAATGAATGATTCAGCTTTTGTACATGAGAAGCTCTTTAAGTTTCACTTGTTTGAAACAAAAAACTCCTCAAATGTTTTAATCAATGTTTCTAGATACTCTAAATCAACCACTATATATATTTTCAACATTATTTCAAAAGCATTTATTCTTTTTTTTTTTTTTTTTTTTTTTTTTTTTTTTTTTTCAGATCTTCATCCTATTAGGGTAAGGTTGCATAAGTTGTACCCCCTAAGAAAAAATAGGTATAAATTGTAGGAGTTATGAAAAAATTAAAATTATGCGTGGTAATAATAATTTGTGTTGTCATTGCTGATATTTATTACAGTAAAATTCCATACAATCTACTCTGTTGGATAAAATTAATAAAATTTATGAAGAGTTGAATAACCTGTATTCAAAGTCATACCACATATAGTTTAAGCCATACTATGTTTAAAATTTGAAAATTATAATGAAACTTTTTTTCTCAATTAATTACAACAGTGCTCACAAAGATATTGCAATACAAAGTCTGAAATCCGGACGTCCATTATCCGGAATGATCTAAAATCCAGACCTCAAAGCCACAAACATTTTTTTTATTAATTCTTTAAGCATGCACATTTGATTTTTCCTTCCATAATAAAACATCTGGAGATTTTCGCTTAAAAATTCTGATTCTTAATTTCACTTAGGCACTAAATAAAATACATCGTTATGAAAAAACAATCATGTAAGCATATATTTGTGAGATTAATAATTTGGCTTCACAGCTAAGTGTCTGCTTGGCATTACATCTCAAACAGAAAAATTAACCTATTTTATATCCCTGACGCCGACCTGGCGAATCATTATTTAATATTTTCCTTTAATTACTGCATGTTTATCGATACATGACAGCTTCAGTAGTAACTCATGCTGTGATGTCTAAACTTTTTTTTTATCTTATTAATTGAATAACAAGAGTATAGCAACCTTTTATGCTAACATTACGCTTGGCGATGATTATAGATTTTTAAATGTTCTAAGAAATGTTGACGAGAAAAAATTCAACAAAAAAGTTTAGGCACGGTGAAAATATATAATTTAAGAAAGCGCTTTGTAGCAGAATTAGAGACTGCACCAGGCGGTATCGAGTGCCGGCCGTGTATAAAACCTTTAAGTATATGTGGGAGTTTATTTATTCAGGACTCGGATTAGTTTTAAGCATGTGCAAGAAATAAACGTAGGTATTGGAAATAATTAAACTAATACAATTCAGGCTTAATTTAGTACGCAATAGGAGCAAGACAAAATTTAGCGAAACAACTTGGTTTTCGTCGCCAATCTTGTGATACAGAGCGAATAATGTGTAATGGACACTATTAAGCTAGGCTAAAATTATCTTTACTGATTATAAGGCATTTCAATTAATGTAGCAGACTGTGTTGCTCCCTGACAGCTTATTATTTTTTACAGATTGTTATTATTATGGCAATTTTATAAAAACTAAGCTTGAACTTTCGATTATGTCGAAAAGAATTTCCAATTCTGGAATTGCCAAAGATCTAAAAAGCAAAACCATGTTTCGATGTCCATTAAACAAAAAGTAAAATTGCTGCAAAAAATGGATAAAGGCTTATCCGTCTCAAAATTATGTGAGGAGTATGGCATTGCAAAGTCTACTGTATATGACACAAGAAAAAAGAAAAAGGAACTTTTTGAATTTTTTGTAAAAGCACCTTATATCCTGGCTGCTCATCCCGCGATTTCCACGGGCAACTCAAATGTAATAGGGGGTTCGGAAATTAATGTCGCTTTCTTACATTAAATTCAAACAAATACATTTTTAACAAGTTTTTATTTTTAATCAATAATATAATCACCCTCGTTATCAACAACCTTTTGCCATCTAATGTGCAGATTTTCAATGCCGAACCGATAAAAATCAATTGGTTTTTGAGTAAAATATCTCGAGAGGATATTTTGAACATCATCCAAATTTTCAAATTTTTTGCCACTAAGAAAATGTTGTAGGGATCCAAATAAATGGAAATCCAATGCTGCGATATCGGCCGAGTGTGGTGGGCAAGTATGGCAGTACCTCCCACCCCAATTCATTAATTTTTTCCAGTGTTCGTCTTGCACAGTGCGGTCTTATATTGTTGTGTTGCATAATGACGCCTTTTCTGTTGACAGTTGATATTTTTCAATTAAAGATTGTTTCACTCCATCCAATTGTTCACAATAAAGGTCTGCATTAACAGTTTGTCCAGGTTTCAGCAATTCAAAATGAAAAATTCCGCGAATACACCACCAAACACACAGAAGCGCTTTTTTGGGATGTAAAGCATCTGTAACCCCTATTAAAACTGATTTTTGCGTTTTAGATTGTGCTATAGGACCTAGTTTTCATTATTTTTGCATGTGATGGATCGGTTGGCTTTGTTTTCTTTGGACAGATTATGGAGGACCCAAACATCTGCTCTACTTATTTTTCCAATCTGCTTTAAATGTTCTTGGATAGTCGACCAAAGTTGATTAAGGGTGTCTGACAGTTCCTCGATTGTTTGACATGGATTTGCTTCCACTTCTGCCCTTAGCATGTCGTTGTCTAATGTTGTTGGTCTTCCTGATCAATAGGAGTCAGAGAGATCACAATTACCGGATTTGAACTTGAAAACCATCTTTGGCATTTACGAACGTCTAATGCACGTGGATAAACATCGCAAATGGTTTTGGTCGCAACTGTTTCATTACTATCCTTGCGAAACTCAAAAAGCATACAATGCCGGATATGCTCTTCTGGTATTTGGCTGGCTATTTCACCCAAAATTGAAAAAAAAAAAAAGTTTTATATTGAATTTTTTAGAAGTGAGTAAGTCACAATAACCTTAAAATGACTTTGGCAAGCCTTCGAGATAAACAATGAGCTGACAAATGAGAATCAAATATCGACATGCACAGAAACGACATTACTTTCCTATCCCCTATTAGCAAAATCTGCTCATCCCGCGATTTACACGGGAATGTGTTTTTCATCCTTTATTGAGGAACGCATCCCGTTTTTTCCCAGTTTAACAACTGAAATAAATTATATACAGCATTAGACGTTTACTTTACGCTTTTTCCAACAGATATCGTTAATTGTCCACTAAATTGCGGCGTTTGAAGGCATGTGGTATTACCGCTCAAACTCCACTTTTTGCTGCTTTTTTCTTACAGAATGGCTGCTAGAAAACATTCAGCGATTAATCTTGATTATTTAATTAAATTATTGAATTATTAATTAATTTATTGATTGATTAATAATTATTGATTAGATTATCATTAGATTTATTGAATCTGGTGCAAAGACCGTGAAGTTAGACTTTGTCTTGAAACCTGTTTTGAACTCTATCATACTAAACTGCATTTCTACGGTAGTTTTTCCTCAGTGCTTTATATTTTCTTAAATTTTATACATTTTGCTTTTTTATATTATGCAATAAATATAAATTAACTGTAATTCGACTGAAATTTATTTAGAAAAATTTTTTGGGGGGTGATAACATCTGAAATTGTTTTTTCTGGCAACTTTAGTTTCTCATGATAAAAATTTATATAAAAATATTATTTTCTAGAAAGGAAAAAGCATTTTTCATATTTCCAATATATATAGATTTAAAATATCAACAAAAAAAAAAAAAAGTACACAATTTTTGAAGCGATTTCGGTCCACAAATTGAGCAGTCAGAGGGGAAAAGAAATATAGTAAATAAATATAAGCTTTTTTGTGCAAATTTTGATACTCTTTAGATCATAATTGTTCTTTATTTCATAAATTACGATTTCTTATTTTTAATTGTATAATTTCTCCATGCCATCTTACCAGATTTAAATTGATGATCTATTATCCGGAAAAATCCCAAATCCGTAATTGCGGAAGTCCCGACCAGTCCGGATTTCGGACTTTGTACTGTATTTCATTTTCTTGTCAACTCCAGCACATAAGATGTATAGCCATCCTTTGCATTTTAGGCGCTGAATCATACTTTCTTTATAGTCTTCCTCATAAATATTACAGGAAGACGAGCACAGTAGGAAGCAATATGGTTGACTAGGGGGTAACTTGTTTTGCCAGAAGAGGTGCAGTTGGCATGATTTGCTACTATGTAAACTCTTAGAGGACATTTAATTTTTGAAAATGAAGACATATTTAGAAAAATGAGGCTATATATATATATTAAATATAATGCTTTAATAAAATTTCACTATACTTTTATACTTTGAAGCACTTATCTTTCTTATGAAGTTTGTCTTTTTTTAATTATTATTATTATATAGGTACAAAGTTAGCTCAAGCAAAAAAGTTTAATGATCCTAATCATCCATGCAAAATACTAGTTGCCACCGATGCTATTGGTATGGGCTTGAATTTGTAAGTAGATTTCAAAACATATTTTGAATTTATATGGTCCCCTGGAAAGTTTTGAAATTTTTGTTTATGTTAAGTAATAATGAAGCAGTACAAAAACATATGAAAGTATCATTGAATCCCATAAACATTATTTTAATCTATAAGTTTATGTGATTCCTCTTTATTAAAAAAAATTGCTGTTTGAGAGTCTTGAAATGAACTCACACATGAATAGTTTGTTCAGAGAACTTTGAAGTAACTTGAAGAGATGAAAATCTAAGAGACAAAATCTGGTAAATATGGGGTGTGACCCAAAACATCTCAGGTATGCTCAATTACGTCTTTTAAGTCCTTGTTTACAGAGGATGGTAGACTGAAGATGGTATAATTTTCGAGGCTGCAAATTTCATACTTAAATTTCTCAGATTACCTTCGAACTGTGGCATCAGAAAACAGCACTTTGTCCATATACATCATAAAATTTATGAGCAGTCTGATTTAAAAAAAAAAAAAAAAAATTTTTTTTTTTTTTTTTTTTTTTTTTTTTTTTTTATTAATAGAAATGAAAATGAACTTTCGGTTTCTCCATTCTTAGCACTCACTGCACTGGGAAAAAAAAAAAAAAAAAGGTTTAACACATGAAATGGAAGCAGAAAAAACCATGTTTAAACATCTGCTTCGATCAAGGTCATTTCCTCATCAGCAGCAACAAAATAATTAGGGAAAAAAACATGCTTTGATAAACCACACAACTTTCCAAATGACCCGATATTCATATAAATTTTTATTAAAGAAATTAAAAATTTTATCCTACTATTTGCTAATATAGTAGGATAAAATTACATAAATTTGATAATAAATAATGTAACTACATAAATATTGATAAATTGCATTTAATCTTATAAGTTTTATATTATATTATTATGATGCATAAAATTATTGTATTTGAATCATTCGCTGTATTATATATGCTTTTTTTTATTTCTTCATGCCACATTAAAGTATCTTTCTGTGTCTTTGTATCTTCATAAAGTGAATGCTCATAATAGCTCATAATATAATTTGAAAATAGTTTAATTTAAATTTTTTTTTTCTTTTTAAGTAGTTTAAGAATGTTTAGGCTAAAATTCCATAAGCGGGGTAAGTTCGCGCCAAACTATTTTGGCGAAATTTTTAGCTGCACTAAATGAAAGCACTAAAATGTAATTTTTAAACGTAAACAGAATAGTAACTTTTAAGTATTATGTAAACAGAATAGTAAAATGAGATGATAAAATACTAGATGAGTAAAATAAAGTCCAACAACTTTGCAAGTAAAAGCATTGTCCTATATATATGTAATTCATCATAAAATAGTAGAATGAACAACTCTTGTAAATAATTATTGAGTAAATAAATGAATACACTTATCAGATCAGAGCACTGCGAAGTCAGTTTTAAACGTGAACAGAATAGCAAATTATGCATATTCAGCATCATAAACTAACTAAAATATTCAAGTTACTTTCATTGTGGAATTCAACACACTAAACAATTTCGTTCAAAGCTTTAAATATTCCACATCTTTCGATTGCCACATGCAAGAAACAAAACTAAAAAAATTAACTAAATAACATTCAATGAAAACATTCATAAATTATAAACTTCATGTCATATGAAATCCAACATTCTCCCTCCAACAACAGCTTAAACTTCTGCAAATATTTATATAAATATAATATTAAACATATATATAACAATAATATTAAACAGTAAAATTATTAAAAACAAACACAGCATTGCAAAATTAAATTTAAAAAAAAAAAATCTGGCTACACTAAATTCACGCTCTTACAGTTACCGAAATAAAGCTCTAGATTTGCCACAAGAAAACATACAGCCGGAAACCACAACCAAATTAAAATCGTGCCAAATCTCGCCAAGCTTGGTGCTCACTCCGATTATGGAATTTTAACCAATGTTTTGATAATTGAAGTAAATTTTATGAAGTATATTATCTTAAGCTATATTTTTGTGTGTGATATATCTTTTACTAATACCATTGGTTAAGTTACGAACAGAAATACAAGAAGTATTATTGAATAGTTTAGTATAAAAAAATTTTGTCTGTTATTAAGAGCAATCATGTTTTCAACCATCTTTTACTTTGTCCAAATAACTGAAATATTTTATAAATTATAATTATTTTTTATACTAATTATTTTTAATTTACACTTTTAATTATAATTAATTACATTATAATTAATTAAAATGTAGCAAATAAAAGTAGTAATTTTCAAAAATTATTTGAAATTCTACCTGATTTTGCATGCAGTTTTTTGGATATTTTTCCGAAGGCTTTCTCTTTGGATTAAAAACCTCTTGTATGTACTGTAATACTTTTTTTCCTGCTAAAAAATATCAGAAGGAAAAAACTTTAAGGACCGGTGGTACATATCTTAATTCCTGATGCAGTCTCTGCAGCTCTGCAATTCTGCTATCAAGCGCCTCCCCAAGTTCTGAATTTTTGGCAGCCCCTAAATTTTGGATCCCAGTGCTTTCTCTAAATTCTAAAAATATTTTAATTCCTTAATTTTGTTGCTTGGTGCTTCTCTAAGTTTCAAAAATCTTGGCTTCCCTGTGTTGCCATATGAGGTCTGCCACCCAGTGTTGCCATATGAGGTCTGGCGCAGGTTCTGTGTTTATGTGAAAAACAAATCAGTTATTCTTTATTCAAATAGCACTAAATGTAATCTTTTGGCCTAGGAATATTATTAACAAAATCTATTTTTAGCATATAGAAAGAAATTTTTATTAAATTTTTCTCGTCAATATTTCTTAGTGCATTTAGCTTAAACCTGTAATCATTGCAGACATAATAATGTCAGCATAAATGGTTACCATACTCTTTGTACTAATATAAAAAAAAATGTTAATGCATTGCTGCATGAGTTATTACTCAAGATCCCATATTTTAATAAATGAATGAAGCAAAGTATAATAAATAATGATTTTCCAGGTTGACATCAGGGATATAAAATATTAGTAGGTGTAAAATCAACGATGTTTCTATCTAAAATGTTTTGGTTCGAGATGTATGCAAAGCAGATACTAGTCAAATTATTGATCACACAAATTTATACTAAATTATTGTTTCTTCAGTAACGAGATATTTATTTAGTGCCAAAGGGAAATTAAGAATCGTGACTCTCCACATAGTTTTATCTTCAGGGGAAAAAATTAAATGCGCATGCGTAAAGCATTTAAAAAAAAGTTGGCGATTTTGAGGTTCAGATTTTAGATCATTCCGAATATTAGACATCCAGACTTTGTACTGTACTTATGTATGACATTTCCATTGATAGCACGGCGGGTGATCGAACTGCTCCCAATGAAACTGTCGAATTAACGATTGAGTGACACCAGCAGTATGGGGCCGAGCATTGTCTTGGAGCAACACAATTCCTTTACTGAGCATTCCTCTTCGTTGGTTTTGAATGGCACGCCTTAGTTTTGTTAAAGTCTCACAATATCGTGCTGCATTAATGGTTTCACCTCTGGGAAGAAATTCAGTAAGCAAAACGCCTTTCCTATCCCAGAAGACAGTGCACATGATTTTTTGTGATGACATTGTCACTTTGAACTTTTGTTTTTTCGGAGAATGAGTGTGTCTCCACTCCATCTATTGTTGTTTCGATTCTGGTGTGAAATGACACACCCAAGTTTCATCACCTGTCACAATTTGGTTTAAAAGTTTTCTCCCTCATCACTGTACCGCATGAGAAATGTCAGGGCACTACCAAGTCGCTTTGTTTTGTGAACATGAGTGAGCATTTTTGGAACCCATCAGGAACACAGTTTGCGATAATTCAAGCGGTCAGACACAATTTCGAACAAAACAGTACATGAAATTTGTGGAAATGCCTCTGAAAGAGTTGTCATTGTGAAGCGTCTGTTCTCATGAATTGCTCCATCAACTTTCCTTACCAAATCATCAGTGACAATAGAAGGCCGACCACTCCGAGCCTTGGCGTGGACATTTGTTCGACCTGCATTAAACATTCTTACCCACGTTCTCACCATTCCATCACTTATCGCGTATTCACCGTAAACTTCTGTCACTTGACGATAAATTTCGACCAGTTTAACATTCCTCGCGTTCAAAAATTTAATCACGGCACGAATCTCACAGTCAGCGGGAGAACTAATTGTCTTAAACATTTTGAATGTGCACAGCAAACTGAAAACACAACATAGAGCAACCAAAATGGCGACAATTAAAAGTCAGTGAACAAGAAAGACTAGTGCGCATGCGCGGACGCCTACCACAGCGCTGCGACGGCGCTAGAATGAAACGGTACTTAGTTTCCGAATACGTTACGTATATATATGTATGTATATATAAATCTAGATTCTGTGTTGATTTCTTTTAAATGTTTTTAGGAGCATTCGTCGTATTATTTTCTATTCCTTGATTAAACCTGTAATTAATGAAAAAGGAGAAAAAGAAATAGTTACAATATCTACTTCTCAAGCTCTGCAAATAGGAGGGAGAGCTGGTAGATACAACACACAGTTTTCTGAGGGGTTTGTTACAACATTTCGGAATGAAGATCTTCCTATTCTTAAGAGTATAATGGCAAAGACTGTTGAACCATTGGAGAAAGCTGGTTTGCATCCAACTGCTGATCAAGTAGAATTATTTGCATATCATTTGCCTCAAGCAACCCTATCAAATTTAATTGTAAGTTATTGAAGAATGAACATTAAAAATATGTCGATGAATTATTAAAAAATCTAATATTATATAATGTATACTGTGGGTTTATTGTTGGTTTTTTGTTTCTTTTGCTATCAAATTTTATTTTTACTAATTAATCAAACTTATTATGAAATCTTAAAAGCTGTCATCAAAAGAAATGTAATTAAAACCTTATCTGTTACATGTATAACAAAAGTTCAGAATTATTTTGTGGTAGATAATATCAGTGATATGTGAATTGATGATTGATGATTTTTCTGATCACTCAAGGTAGATTGTAGAAATATCTGAACTATCGGTGTTACTAAGTTATCATGGTTTTTCAACAGTGTTAAAACATAATTTCTTTAAGATGAACTAAATGCTTAACAGTAAACTAATTGTAATTGATTCCTGCAAAAGTGAAGTTTTCATTTAGGTATGGATTTAGTCATCAGTCATTTGCTCTGTTAAAAAATAAGCTAAGTAATAATATTCCTGATACCTGATTCCTGATATCAGGGTAGTACATATATGATGAAATTTTTTTGTCATGTGTTTTGTATGGGAACTATATTTTCTAGATTCAACAAGTTTCATTGTTGAACGATTATCTTCAAAATGTTTTATTGCTAAAGTTTGAGGTAGATTAAAGTCTTCTATTAGTTTTAATAGTCAAATTAACTCTTACATAGCTTGCAGAAGTGCAACATAGTCAGCTTCTGTTGAAGATAGAGAGGCATTCATTTGTTTTCATGGAAACTATAAAATCCAATTGCTATTTAATAAAATTGCACCTTTTTTCTGTCTTTAATATTTTGTTCTCAGTCAACATCTGAGTAGACTAAGATTTGGTTCTATATCAAGGAAAAATGTAGCGAGGATATCTTTTATTGAGTTTAAATATTTAATTGTTCTTTTTGCAGCATTAGTGTCTTTTTGAAGTGTATTGTTACATCATCTGCTGAGTATATGATTTGAAGATATAATATCTGCTCTTGTGATAGACCTTACATATAAAAGATTTTCAATCGCTGGGCGAAATTTATTATTTGAGGGTAGAAGATTTTCTTCTACTCCTAAAATATAATAATTGATTTCCATGGGTATATTAGTAGTATTTGCTTCTTCAGATAACTTTCATATTCTTTTCAATTTATTTTCATGCCTAAGAAAGATTTAGCTTCGTAAATATTCATGCCTAAGAATATTTAACTAAATGCATTATTTGATGGCGTTTCTTTAAATCATTGAATATTGGAAGAATTAGGGCTTCTTGATTTTATCACTTAATAGAACATCATTGATATTACACAATTGCATTAATGTTTTTATCACAATCCCTTTCCGTAAAAGACGCAAATCTGTTTTGCTTTGATTGACAGGTCTGCTTTGCTCAGTATTCTTAAGCATATTATCAGTATCTGCATTTTAGCACATTGCTGCTTGTTTGAGAATTACTTACCGTATTTGCCAGCATATAAGATGCCCTTTTTCTTTGAAAAGGGTGAAAAACAGGATGTGTCTTATATATCAATACTGAGTTTTTGATTACATTCATTTCTGAAAATTTCCTCTATTTGGAGGGTTTTTTTTTTTTTTCCCCCCCTTGTGGAGTGTGGGAATATTACAGTTGCAGAGAGTTACACTGCTACTGCTTACAGTAGAGTTTAGTTAATGTGCATCCATTGTCAGTGACGATCACAGCTGGGTTCGTTTAAATTTTCCAATTTTTGTGAACGACTTTTAAGTGTGTGAAATTTCTACTGTTCAATTTTCTTAAATTTGTTGGCAAGTTATGGCTCAAAAACAACATCGGCATTGCTATAACATAGAGTACAATCTACATGTGATTGCTGATTTTGAAAAAATTTCAAGTGATTCTTCATTTAGTTCTGGAGATGAGTGTCTGGGTTTTAACGAAGAAGATTAAAAGGTGTTCTTTTCCAAATAGATCGGATATTTGCAGAAATTATTATTTTGTATATTTAAAATACTGTAAATTTATTATAATGATGAGTAATAAAGTTTTATCCTTCAAAAATGTGTTATAAAAAGGGGGTGTCTAATACGCTGGCAAATACTGTAATTCATTCCTTAATTTACAAAATTTTTTCTTTCTTCTAGAATTACAAATCCTTCTGATTGTTCCATGTAAATTTCTTTATATAATTTGGCATTCAGAAATGCAGTTTTAACACCTAGTTGATGCATATTTGCGTTGTTATACTCAGCCTGTGCTAAAAAAAAAAGATTTCACCAAAATTATTTCTGTATTTTTGAGTATCCTTTAGTATGTTTTGTATTTTATCTTCATATCAATTTCATTTCATTTTAAACGATTATTTCCTGAACGTTTTCTTAGCAAATTTTTAAACTGGTAAGTATTGTCCTCTATTTAGAGAGTTTATTTCTTTTTCCGTAACTTTGATCCAAGCTTCTTGTTTCCATTTTGGTTAAAATTCCTTCAAATATTTTTGGATCTCTATTTTGATATTATATGGATGCTTTGTAGAAGTATCTGTCTGTACCTTTAGTCATCGTACTAGAATTTCTTCTTTCGACACATTTTTTTTTTTTTTTTTTTTTTTTTCTTTCTTTACATTTAATCAAATCTACAGTTGCTTTCTTATCGGCTGTTACATCATTGGCAAGAGATAGTTCTGTTTCATTTTCTGAGATACTGAAATAAATTAATTTCTAAATCTTCAGTACTGTTTTGTACACGTCTGTCAGATCTAAATGCATTTTTAAAAAGTTAACTGTTCTGCTTGCTGTTTTTTTTTTTTTTTTTTTTCTTCTACCTGTGTAAATCATGTATCCTTTGCTTCATAAATTTTATCCTATGAATATTACTTCTTGCAGTTTGTTAAATTTCCATCGCTTCTATTTGTTCACATAGAAGTATGCTTTACAACAGAATACTTGTAAGTGACATAAATTTTGGTTTGCTGCTATTCTGTAATTCGTATGATGTTTTATCTGTAGCAGTTCATATTGTAGCATGATTTGCGTGAGCAAAATATGTTTTCTTGTCAATCAAGTTTGCAGCCAACTTATAGACTTGTTGAGCATTGCTGTGAGCTATAAGCAAGTTATTCCTCTTAATAGTACACTTATTACCAATGTCTGGATTTTGATGAATGCACTTTGTTTCACATTTTTTTTTTTTTTTTTTTTTTTTTTTTTTTTTTAAAGTTTTTAGTGCATTTTCTGTTCAATTCAGAGTATTTTCAGGTTTATTCTAGGTACTGAAGTAAAAAATAATCTTATTCTTGAAGTAATACTGTGTCAAATCCTATGAACTCATTTTACTAGGCAGCTATGTCTTATCCACAGAAAACTGATAATGCTATCTGTTAATCCTATGTATTATAATAGGGTTTTTCTCACAAGGTATGAGTACCATTTCTAAGAATTTTTGCATACAGGCATTTCTTAGTTCTTTAAGGCTTTTTGTGCATGTTGAGTTCCTGCATTGGGGAAAAAGCTATTTCACTATTCTATTGGCATGTTCTTGAAATTACACACTCAGAGCTGTGTGCAGTACTTTTTTCTACCTGTATAAAATCCTCTTTTCTTTCCTTCCCCACCAGATTTTGAGGGGTGCTCAGCTGGTACAGTCTGTTGTTGGCAAATGACCTTGGATATTTCTATTTTCAGAAAGGTCCCATCAGAATAGGAATGCTATGAACACAAAAGGTGTTTGGTGACCATATTTCATGCTAAATGATTCTTTTCCCTTGAAAGTACTATCAAAACAAACAGTACATTTTTAAAACTTTAGATTCTTCGCCATATGTGTTTTGTTTAAATCTTTTTGCAGATGCCTGCAACAGAAAATGTCCTTTCATAAATCTAGTTTAATATAGAGCTTCCTATTTTTAAAACAGAGCTTTATAATGTTTCTCACAAGAGTTTATATGCATAAAGTTTTCCCTGTTTTGACATAAAACTGTGGCTTCCAATCCATGCGGAAAATATCTCTCATCCTGATAGAAGAAGCAGACTTTTTTAAAACTGAAGAAGAGTTAGTAATAAATTATGCAGGTTTTATTTATTTATTTATTATTTTTTAAGTATGCTCCAGTAACTGCAGTTGATGTCAGGAGAAGCTTCTAATGCTATAATTTGTATAGTGACAGCAGATCTTTCACTTTTAAAAACTTCAAGAAATACTTTATAATTCAGTCCAATAGTAATACATTTGTGTAAGGTTGAAAATTCAGACCAAAAAAAATTAAGTGACAGGTATGTGCAATGATTTTGGGTTTTAATTCATTTGTCAATATTTGTACATTGTCTTTTTTATATTACTATTTTTTTAAAGATATTTTTTCTCATTTAAGTGCTTTTTCTTGCCATTTTTAAGAGCATTTACAGTGAATTTTTAGGTCCACAACAATGTAACCTTTATTCATACATAAATAGAAATTAAGTTACTGTCTAAATCTGATATGTACAGTATGTTTTTTAACTTTATTTCGCTAATAAACACTGATGGTTTGTGAATCTAGACAGCAGTTAAGCAAATTAAATCTTTAGCTTTTTGATTATCTTTTAACCAACTATCACAGTTTATTTGAGATTTTTCCTTCAAATATAATAGTATCTAAACCTTCTTTTCTTAGAAGTTGTTCTGTTTTTTATGTTTCCACAGGGAATAATTTTCATCTGTTAAATTTTCAATGTAAATTGTTTCATTTAGAATAGATATTACTACTTGCTACAATTTCTTTTAAACTGTATAACTATCTTTGTCAACAAGAAAAGGTTTAATACTGTTTGTCTCTGAAAGCTTGCTGCAATATATATTTTTTTTTAGAATTTAAAATTTTAGTTAAATCTTTTTGCAGATGCCTGCAACAGAAAATGTCCTTTAGAAGTGTTCAGATGTAAATTTTGTAACCAAATTCGGTGTCATAATCAATGAAATGCATGTACTTTAAACATGCTACTAAGGCATTGAGTAAGTAATTCTCCAGCAAAGTACAAAGCATCAGAAGTTCTTATAAACAGGAATTCTTTATTTAAGAAGGAAGAAGTGTTACTGAGCTTGAGCAGAACAAAACAAATTGAAAGCTTCAGAAACATTTAAAATAAATTAATAAGCTAATGTTCAAAAGATATATAAGCTAATTCATTCCTTTGAAACAAATCATCACTTCTATCTTTTAGGTCAGGTGCTTGCTACAGGAACATTTAAAAAATGACAGGATGCTAGAATGCAAAAGGGCTAAATGGCTCACAGTTAGTCTTATCTCACCAATTTTATACCTTTTGGCATTTGATCACAGTTTCAAGTTTCATTATAAAAAAATGCTAAATTCTTCTAACAGAAATTGCAGCCAAAATGAACTGGATCTCAAATAAAAGTATTCAAAACCTTTTTGCTAATAAGAAGATGTTACCATATTTAATTTGAGGATTTTTTATTTTAATTTTGAGAATAGCAATGGAATTTAATTTTTATTTTTAGAGATAATTTTGAAAACTGATTATATTTATCTCTTGTCTCTCTCTCTCTCTCTCTCTCTTTTTTTTTTTTTTTTTTTTTTTTTTTTTTTTTATGTAGGATATTTTTGTTAGCCTTTGTATGATGGATACATCGTCATATTTTATGTGTGATACTGAAGGATTTAAATACTTAGCAGATAAGATTCAACATGTTCCTTTACCACTACGAGCTCGTTATGTGTTTTGCTGTGCTCCCATAAATCGACGACAGCCTTACGTCTGCACTATGTTCTTAAAAGTAATTAATAATTACTTTTTTAATATAATGAATTTCAAAATGTGCATTTTACCAAAAACAAATGATCTAGTTGGCTTCAAAAATAAAACTTTGAAGTAATAGTTTCTGTTTTTTCATCTGTAGTTCTCCAACCAATATAGTCAAAATAAACCTATGACAGAAGAAATACTTTGCAAAACAATAGGATGGCCATTTTCACCACCACAGAATATCATACAACTTGTACATCAGGAAGCTGTATTTGATGTCTTAGATTTATATCTTTGGCTGAGGTATGGTTTCCCATTTTAAGATCCTTAAGATATTAGGATTAGATTTGTAAATTTTTAAATATATAGTGATAAAGTTGTAGTGTTTATTCACCTGAAATTTATGAATAGTAGCTGTTGTTGTGTAATAATACTATTAATTTTATTTAGTGAATAATCATCTTACTTGCTCCTCATGGGCTCTCATTTACTGTCACTTACTAAGTGCTTGTAATACTAAGAATGGTTTTTGCTGTACTAGAATGAGAAAGCAGATTAAATAGATAGTATACTTTAAAAGTAATAGTATACTTAAAGAAAATAGATAGTATACTTAAAGAATAGTATACTTTAAAAGATTCCTGATTTTGTTTTGTTGTGAAAATATTTAATTTATTCTCCCTCCTTCATAAGGAATCTAAGAATTCAAAAAATATTTAAAAATTTATTTCATAGGCATGTAGTTCTGTTCCAATATCTTTTCTTAATGCTAGTAATAAATTAAGTAAATTATAAATTTGTCAATAAATATGCTAAAATTTCTACTTGATAAAATCTTCATATTTTTATGAGCTTTAATGTATATTTTCTCTATGGTATTGTCTATAACCAGGGCTGTGGAGTCGGTAGACTCTGACTCCTGGAATTTTAAAGACTGTGACTCCCTCATATATTTATACGGTGAAAATTGTTTAACACGAAATTGAGGGGACTGAAATATTTTTTCTTGTTAAAAGAATTTTATGTTAAAGGATATTGGGAGAAAAAAAAACATATATTTAACAATATTTAAGTTTATTAGAGTGCATAGATATGTATGTATGCATATATCTATTACATATATGTATATATATTAATTAGATATGTATATATCCATATATTTAATAAAAATGAATAAAACAAAAACATCCACAAAAACTAATGAAATGTAATACAAATACTAAAATAAGTTTTTTGAAAAATAAAACATTTATTGAGTTTTTGGAAAATGAACTGCTATTTTTCTTTGCATTGACCTTTTTAGCATCAAATTGTTAACAAATTGTTCAATGTTGTCCATTTTGTTATTCATTTCACCATTGGAAATAACTGTGCATACTTTTTATGATGTTTCTTATTTCGGATGACGTGGGAACAAGAGCTGCATTATTCATTTCATTTTTGTCATCGGAATCTGCATCAATGATATTTTTTAAGCTTTGAACAAACTCTTTGTCTGCCATGATTGAAATGTCTTTGTCTGTCATGATTGGGGCTGTACACACATTATCATTATCTACTGAAACAAATTCTTCGAATAATACAGTAGGACAGTCCAATAATATAGAAATTTTCTCAAACATTTCATTAAGTGGTGAAGGAGTTACAATATCCTCCTTCACCACTTTTTTTTGGCCCCAAAGAATCTGATACTTTTGAGAATCATGCATGACGAAAATAATTTTCAATCATCCTTGGAGCTGCTGAAAACCATGCAGAGTGCAACATATTTTTACTGATTACAATATATCACTGATTTTTACTCGCACTGCGATGTACTCGCCACAGAATTCCAAAGCCAACTGATGAGAAATGAGATGTTTGTGTGGCGTTTGTAGGTGTGGAGGGTGAAAGTAGCTGAGATAAACAAAACTGGTTCATGTCCGAGAGTATTTTAAAGCCAAGTTAGCCTCCTTTCTACAAAACATGTAAAACCACCTCTCTTTCATTTCACATCCCCTCTTAAATCTCACCTGCGAGGCCGGTGTTTTCCGTATTTTGTTCATTTCCAGAAAGGAAATCTTTTCGTGTTAAGCGAATTTTGTTTCGTATTAAGAGAAACAAAATGCATGAAGATACATAGTAGTTTGTCGGCACCATTGTATTATTTCTTGTTAACCGATATTTCATCTAAAGCGTTTTCGTGTTAAACATATTTCACTGTATGTAAACATATACACATGGGTTACTGCTTATTTTTTTAACATGAAAGAAGTAATAGACGCTACTGGAAAAAATCTTGATGGCATAGCAAAATATTTATATTAATTACCATTTATTATGAAATGGAAAAATGACATGAGTTATTTCTAAGAAACAGTATAGTTTCGGCAAGATTTTCTTTTTTGTACGGCCATAGTCCGATTTTATAAACTTCAGAGCTGAGAAGAGTCTTTCCACATTAACTTGAGTAGGAGGAACAGTTGTTATTGTTAGTGCTACTTCTTTTAACTTTTCAGGATAGATTTTTATAAATTCTGAAAGAGGTGTCTTGCAAGCGCAATCATATTTTTCTATTTCTTCAAAGGTCGTGTAGAAATCTTGTTTGTATTTTTTCATTTTTATATCAAAAGGTTCTTATTTCTTTATTTTCATTCACTTTGTCTTAGCCTTTTCAATATTATCCAAAAATATTTCTCAAAATCTAATTCATCACTGGAAGAGGATGATGGAGACTCAGTTGCAATGTCTGCAGGTTGACTGTCCTCATTTGAATACTCCAATTGTTCCGATAATAATTTCATTCTTTCCGGACCTCAAAGCTACAAACTTTCTGCGCATGCGTTTACGCATACGCATAATACGTTTATGCATGCACGTTTAATGTATAACGGACGGTTAAATTATCCAATTATTTATTTCAGTTAATGTTGCAGATTGCGTTGTTCCTTAATCCTTCCGGCTTATTATTTTTTGCAGACTGTTAGAGCAATTTCACAAAAGTGAGCTTGAACTTTCGATTATGTCAAATAGAATTTCCGATATATATTTACTAATATGTAAAGGATCTACAAAGCGAAAGTATGTTTTGAAGTCCATTAAACAAAAGGTGGAATTGCTGTAAAAAAATGGATAAAGGCGTATCCTTTGTTTTTCTAACCATTCCGAAATCTGTTTATCAATTTCATGCTGCTCTGCGGCGGGAGAGGGGGGGAAACGCCGCGGTGCGCAATGAATTGGAAGTTGATCTATCAGCACTATCCTTATTTTCAGGGCAGATGTTTTTATTTTATTCGGCTTATAATTCCTTACTAAATGTAGTATTTCATCTCGATGTATTCCATCTTTGATATGATTTAAATCAGATTCCTCGTCATTATAATTCGTTTCCGATAGTGAAGAAAGTGACAAAGAGGTTATTGAAAACGAAAAAATTTCGAATGACAAGTTAGTCGGTATTCTCAACACGGCAATTATAGGACTTTGTAACTGAGCAAGAAATTATTTATGTTTATAGAATTAAAGAGAAAGTATTATCACATAAAATGAAGCAAATTAAGCAACTTACATTGAAAGAAATGTTTAATAAAGTAAACAAATAAATATTAAGCTTTTTTTTTTTTTTTTTGTAAATTTTGATACCCTTTAAATCATAATTGTTCTTTATTTGATAAATTACGGTTTCATATTTTTAATTTTATAATTTCTGCATGCCATCTTACTAGATTTAAACTGATGATCTATAATCCGGAATTGCCGAAGTCCTGACGAGTCCGGATTAATTACTTTTTACTGTATATATACTAAAGAAATATTGATTATATTATCTCCTAATATTAATTTAGTAGAAGTATCGAAAAGAGTGAACCCAGAGGTAGGAAGTTTAATTCCAAAAATTGTTTTAAAGTAACTTGAATGTACATTGCTAAAAATGTTTTACAGGGACTTGAATTAAATCATGAATAACAAAATTTCAAACTTTGAAAAAGAAATTAAATTAAAAGCAAGTAATTATTGCTATTGATCGGAAATTAGTTGACTTTTCAAGGGGAACAAACCAACTCCCGTTCAATGAACAATAATTAATAAATACGAAGGTGTTTCATCATTTACTCAAGTAATAATGGTGATGCCAAACTGGCAAATTAAGTTAGGCAAAATAGTTCTGTGAAGTGAATGTATTTAGAACCAAAGTAGAGCACCAAAGAACTCATTCTGAATTAAGCATTTTTGCTAATACAATTTTTGAGTGAAAAGCAATTTATGTAGTAAAATTGATAAAATACGCGTAGTGATTGTTCCCCCGACATCCTCGTTTTTATGCATGTTAATTCAAAAACTATTTATATAAAAATTAAACATTGGTAATCTTAAGTGGAATAATGAAATATAACTCAAAGTAATTGAAATAAACATTAGGAAATTAAGAAACATAATGCTATCTTTGCAAAAACAAAGCAAATAATAAAAATTGAAATATTAATATATATATAATAAGAAAGTAAAAGTGAATCTACATGAAGATATAAAAGGCCAGAAAAATGCATTAATTAACGTTTTCCTTCTAGTGGGATGTTGGTAACGTGTTATCTCTTATGTGTCTTACTCAGAAGGGGTGTGTGTCCGAAATTCCCGTTATCAGCAGCGAGGATACTTGGAATTATTTCAGGTGGTGAAACTTGTGAGAAGTAATTTATGGAGACGTGGGAGGGTCTAGGAATGCTGTGAGGACGTTTGTTGCGGAGTTCTTATGTGAGTGAAAACGTCCGTTACAATTTTGAATATACTAACTAGTGAATGGAAATTAATTAATTTCTCGCTAATTGTTGTGTCGAAACGAGGAAGAAATTAAGAAAAGGAAAAAAGTGACACCTCTTCTTCTGTCATCTCCTATGGCGTCAATTGTCAGGAACATTCTTAGAGGTCTTTAAAGATACACCATCGTGGCGGTCAGTGAATGAGCTAAGTAATAATCCTTTTTCGTAGACGAAGCAAGGGTAACATGCATTCCTTAGAGTTCTGTAATAGGCAAACAGATAACAAACAACGAAGATGCCCACTAAGAATCTTCTTGAGCGTTACCAAAATCCAGAGTAAGCATGGATAATATCAGTCTGCCTCATCTCAGCAGTGTGTCCAAGATAGTTGGTCTTCACCCAGAAGTTAAATTTTGCAAGCAACAGAGACCTCATTCCAAGAGCAATTCAGCAGAACCGCGCAAGAGAGAAGCAAAAAAGTGCCGAACTTTCAAATTTCACCCTAAAAGTACTGACAACCACAGTTTTCCAGACTTGGCAAAACTCGCCCCTCAAAAGTTTCCAAAG